CAAGGTACAGGCTAAAGACGATTCGAGTTGTCGACTCACGCACGACCTATCCCAACGGACATTACGCTTGGACGGCACCACAACCTGTCTATGTCTTTTTCGAGTGCCCTGGTCAACCAAAAGTCAACGCCAGCCCTGGTCAAGACAAGCTCGGGTTTCCATTTGGACAAGTTCAGCCTTGGGACGGTCTGGGGAACGTTCAATGCACTTATCGAAGCATCATCGAAATGTCATCAATGCGTAAATAGTTTAGCTGGTTAGAATCGCCGCTTCGCAAGCGGCAAGACCCGAGTGAGAATAGACCCGAGTGAGGATAAATTATGATTGAGAAATGTTAAAAATGACGGAATGATTTTGCGTCAACATAACAGCTTGAATAAAGGCATCATCGAAATGTCATCAATGCGTTAATAGTTTAGGGGTTAGAATCGCCGCTTCCCAAGCGGCGGACCCGAGTTCGAATCTCGGTTAACGCAGTTTTTTTTACTATGCCAGCATTCCGTTTTCTTTTGCTTTTCTTTTGAAAGTGCTGAAATCGGCTAGAAAGGTGGGAAAGACGGCTGTTGTGTATTGTCTTGGATGGTTTGATCTTGGTGTGTACTTTCTTTTTATTGGTGGCTCAGAGAAGCCGTGGATTGGCAGCTCATCTCCTTTTTTGCAAATAGTTGGGACTTACAGGGCTTAGATCCACACACTTTCAGTAATAGGACACACAAAAAAGCCGTGAAACGAATGTATCATTCAGGGACTGTCTTACGTATGTACACCTTTCAACACATTCCATTTATGCAGACCTCACCAGCCACCAAACTAGTACTTATCCGAATGTGGTTTTTGACTTTTTGTCTTGCCTCAAAAAAACTAATACAAAGCTGCGAGTGTTCGCTTCCGATTCCGTATCACGCCATGCATCTCGTCATTTCGGTACCCGAAACAGATGATAGCACGCCGAAACGCACGGAGGGAGGGGGAAAAGTGGGGCACCGAAGATTCCGAATTTGTATTATTTTTGGGGGGGTTGAATTTCTGTAAAAAATTTTCATTCATGTTACAATTTATAGCATGGCGGATGGAGAAAGTGTTCCAGCCTCCCCACTCGCAACCAGGAGGGTTGGTTTGATGATGTTGTTCCGAGTGAGAGTTTTGAGCTGGGGAGAGTCAGTGGGTGAGGGAGGGAAGGTTGCTAGTGCTAAACTGCTAATTAGTAATCCAACAGAACAAATCACACAGGACTTCCTCTTATGATTGAGCAGCTTCATTGCTCATGTCTGTTTGTTTGTTTGTCTGTGTTGTGTTCAGTGTTGTGCCGTTACAAGTCTGATGATCCCTCCTGGTAAAAAATTTCAAAAACTCTTGACTCCCCTTTAATTTTATGGGTTTGACTTGCCGCGTTCCCTTAAAACCATGGTTAAAGGGAGATAGGTGGGAGCAAAGACAAACGATATAGTGATACACACATACGCCATTCATTATTTTATGTATGTACGACAATTGAAACTTGGATCGTAAAAATTAGGTGGGGCTTATTTGAAGGCTAATTGGCGTTGGACTTGCCTCTTTCATAAGCACCTGCGGAAGCAAAGGAAAATACTCGGTGGGTTCTTGCACCACCGACGTTCCGTAACAAAAGTGAAAGATAGTGGTAACGCAAGGTGCCCCACTTATCCTCATTCTTCCGTCGGTCCGTCGGTTGACTTTGATAGGAGCAGTGCAAAGACAGCTGAGGAGGACGCGTTATCGGGACGGTTCAGGAGCAGCGCAAAAGTAGGATGTCGCGCGTTATCGGAAGACGGACGCAAAACAAAGTGCGGTGCTGGAACATAATTATCTCTGCGTATCATTCGTTGGAGTAGTTGTCGTTGTAGACTTGTAGTTGTGAATATATCATGAAGAGTAGTTGTAGTTGTAGTATAAATATTTGTAGTTGTAGTATAAACAGTTGTAGTATATTGTAGTTGCAGTTGAGGTGGTAAACGAGTGAGTGTCACCACTGACGGTTCATTGTCAGTCTCCTGCTCCGTTTGAAGGGAGGATTGCTTTATTAGCAATCACACTTGTTATCAGTGAGTCTCTTTGCATGAATTGCAAATTTTTTTTTATTTTATTTTATTTTGCATGAATTGCAGAATTGCGAATGGTATAAATAGGAATGCTGCTTCCTTCCCTCCCGTGTCTCCCTCTCTCCCTTCCCTCCGACTGCTTCCCTCTCTCTCGACAGACAGACAGACAGACGCATCCACCGACACTCTCTCTCCAGTCGCATCTCCTGAACCCATCCACTCCACCACTGCTGCTACTACTGCTAAAGAGCAACCTCATCCGTCTGGCCATTACACAACTTTAATAATTTGATCCACAATCACACAAAACTAATCACACTAATCAACCAACCACACTCTTTCCAAAATGTCCGCCCTTGAGAACCAAACCTCAACGGACTTGAAACCCATC